TCGATCTTTTCGCCTGACTGGTTCCCCATGAAGTCAGGCAGTCCGGGGACAAGAGGTGGTTCTCTTGGCAAAAAGCCAAACAATAAAAAGAAAATATGAGCAGCACACCAAAGGAAAACACCTCCGGGGGTTCGGAACTCCGGAGAACGGCGCGTGGGGGATCCTTGTCCCAGTCCCCCCGCGTCGACAACATGCGCTGGGAGCGGGACGGGGGCTATGGCGAGGCCTTCGTCCATTCCTGCCATCGTCGAGAACAGAAGAGTGTCCATTAATGTAGAAAGATTGAATATGGATAGATACAAGGTAGGTCTGCGACCAAACTCGCCAAGAGAAGCCGCACCTGAGGCAGTGGATTGCGGCACTGAGGAAATTGTAACCACGCCCGTGGTTAGATCAAGAAAAACGAGAGGAAGCAAGGGAGACAAAGAAGATAACAATATGGGTGCTGATAGTTCAGTTTCTATGGAAAAAACGCCGACTAGTGAACACGACGATGTCGAGTTCGTCTCGGTATCGAACGCGGGTAATATCTCCGGGCCAACCACCCCAGCGGATCCGGACCTGGAGATTACCGGCTACGAGACAAGTAGGAGCGCAAGGCGCAGCACGGCTTCGTCGTCGGGTACGGGAGTTAATAGGCAGAAAGCTGGTAACAAAAGGAGGAGAATAGTTAGCTCACCGGAAGATGCGGATGACGAGGGCACAGATGGGGGGCCGTCCATCGGTGTGCTCTCCGAATCTCAAAAGGGCTTGACTGAGGAGAGAGCGAAAGCGCTTGAACGACTCTCGTCCTGCGAGATCGCGGCACTAGCCACAGAGTGGCTGGAGCAAGCGGAGGAAGCGCGAGCTAAATCAAAAAATATCCATGGAGCGCTAACGAGAAAAATTAAGGTAAACCTCCACTCGACGGCTCACGCTGTAAGAACTCTGGCGATCAGAGCATCTGCGGAGGGAGACCCTGAATATTGGAAGACCCGAGTACAGGGACTCCACGAAGAATTGGCCGAGGCCAAATTGCAAATACAGAGGTTGACCGATAGGCTGGTGGCGGTAGAATGGACCCGACGGTGAGACCTGTCTAGGCTCGTATGGAGTTGGGAACCCCCCCGTTGGAGCCCCCACTTCCCCCACGGGAGAAGAGGACTTTGGGCCTGGATAGAGAAACTACGCTAGGAGAAAGGGAGAGGGGTCCGAGCGAGGTGCCGCCGGGGAATGTGGCGGGGGCCTCTCCGGTGGGCCCTCGGCTCCAGCCCAGACTTGAGAGGGAATTCCTCTCGGATCTATCTAGGACAATTAAGGGAGCGATTGCGGACTCCTTTGCGACACTGTTGCCTGCGAGTGGCATGTTTCGGGGACCCCTGATGGGGGTGCCTCCGACGATTGCGATTCCCCGGATCGAACCTGGTGATAAGGATGGTGGTGTGATGGGAGCTCCGGCTGAGCAAGGAACTCCTACTGCGGGCGGAGATCACAGGGCGCTTTTCCCTCCGTCTAGGAAGAAAAAACAATTGAGAACGCGGACCTATCCCCGGGTGGCACCCTTACGCCCACCACTTGTGGACGGGGGTGTGACATCGGGTGGGGGGGCTGAGGGAGAAGATGTGGCGACACCGAGGTCGGGTGTGGCGAATTTGCGAGTGGAGAAGGATAAAGTGGCACCCGCAGATGGAAGAGCGAGGAGAACTGCGCCACCGATTCGCAGGCCGCGATCATCGGCTGTCACATTGATGTGCCCGGAGGGAGGAATATCGTACGCTGAGGTCATCAAAAAGGCAAGAGAGAAGATCACCTTGGGGGATCTGGGCATCGAAGACACCCGGATGAGGTGCACGGTGTCGGGGGGTGTCCTTATAGAGCTCCCTGGCCAGGATACATCGCCTGCGGCCGATGCGCTTGCGGCTAAATTAAAGGATGCGTTCAGAGACTCGGACGTACGCGTAGGAAGACCCATGCTAAAGGGCGAACTCAGGTTATCTGGTCTGGACGCTTCAGTGACGGCAGAGGAGGTGCTGGCTGAAGTTGTAAAAATAGGAGGCTGTTCAATCAGTAATATTCGGCTTGGTAGTGCCAGGATAGCCAGAAACGGCTTCAGAACAACGTGGCTGCAATGCCCTTTGGATGCGGCCCGGAAGATAGCAGATGCGGGAACCCTGAGAGTGGGATGGTCGACTGCAAGGGCTGAACTGCTTAGGAAAAGACCCTTGCAATGTTACAGGTGCCTCGGAATTGGACATGTTCGCTGGAAGTGCCCCAGCGAGCATGACAGGACTGGTCACTGCTTTAACTGCGGTGGAGAGGATCATATGGCCAAAGATTGTGGAAGACCGGCGAGCTGCCCGGTTTGTAGAGAGCGTGGGTTGCCGCACAACCATAGAGCGGGGTCTGAAGTTTGTCCCCCCTACTCTCCCAGAAGAACCCCCCCTGCAGGGGCGAAGAGGACAGAAAACGTGGCCGATCGGAGTATAGTGGCCGGACCATCCGAAAATGGATAGCTGCATAGTACAGATCAACCTGAACCGATCTCGGGGGGCTCAGGATTTGCTGATGCGGACGATGCAGGAGCACGAGTGTGACTTAGCGTGTGTACTCTGAGCCGTACCGGGTCCCTAAGGACCCAAGATGGATCGGGTCACTCGAGGCCACCCCAATGGCTGCGGTGATGTGGCAGGGTTCCCGGTCTTCCAGACCAGCGGTACTGATCAACAGAGGAGAGGGTTTTGTCGTCGTAGGGTGGAACGAACTGGCGGTGGTATCGTGCTACTTCTCGCCGAATAGGAGCGTGAACCAGTTCCGAGCCTTCCTGGCGGCGATTGGGGATGCAACCAGCACACTAAGAGGACGACCGATCCTGATCATGGGGGATTTTAATGCCCGTTCCCATCTTTGGGAAAATACCCACCCCACTCTGAAGGGGGACGCGATGGCGACCTGGGCTGCCGTGCAGGATCTTAGGCTCCTGAACAAGTACAATGTGGCCACCTGTGTGAGGCCTCAGGGGAGGTCGGTCATTGACCTAACCTGGATCTCGCCGGCGCTGTTGCCGTCTGTTAGAGCATGGGACGTAGCTGTCGAGGAAGAGGCGTTGTCGGACCATCGATACGTCTATCTAAGGCTGGGCAAAAGGGGTGGAGTTGAGCGGGGAACCCCC